GGCACACATGTTCAGTGTGGCTTTTCCAATTTAATATTGCGTTTACGAAAATTCCTGAGAATTGTGTTTACAGTACTTAGAGAATGTCTGAAGAGTTTATGAATATTTTAGTTTCATCCTTGTTTTTGTTGCAAAAGATCATGAGGTTACATTTTTTTATTTTTACCGCCATCTTATTCAGCTGAGACTATTTAAAAACAGCAGATATTTCCTCATTTACACACTTTATTAGAGTTCTGTTTAAGTTATTGTTTGAAGCTATCATTTTGGTATTGTCAGCAAATAACATGAAATTAATTCTCCATGTCAAAGCCAAATCATCACTGTAAATCAGAACTAATAAAGGGCTGAGGATCGGGGTGGAGGCCAGTCTTAAGTTATTCTCTGCACCTTCTCCTCATACTCTTCACTCATCTTTCACCTCTTCTCCTTCACTTCTATCCATCTATTTAATATTTATTCATACAGGGACAAACATAAAACAATGTCCCACAGGGATCAGTATTAGGTCCCAAACTGTTCTATAAACGATATATGCATGGTGTCCAGAAATTTTATGTTGTTTGGAAACTGCAGTACAGACACAGATGTTCAGGTGATGATTGATAATGTCGATGTGGAAAGAGTCTATAAAACTAAATTTCTGGGTGTGATTTTAGACGACAAAATCTGCTGGAAACCTCAGATCAGTGACGTCAGAGCAAAACAAAACACGTACTGGACCATAAATTACGTCGCTCGTACCACCATATATGACTTACTGTGTGGAAGTCTGAGGCAACACTTTCAAAAGCAACTTACAACCATTATACATCCTTCTAAAGACAGGACACATCTACACACTGTCTTTAAAGTCACATGCATTGAAATTTTTTGATCTGGTCGAATTTAAAACTGCAATAATCATGTTTAAAGCGGGAAATAATCTACTTCGGGGCAACATTCAAAAAATATTTTTGGTGACAGGGAGGGTGGTTATGATTTAAGAGGAGAATTTAATTTTAAGTTTGTATGACTAAGAAGAGTGTGTGATGCGAGATGAGTTCAAACAAAGCAAAGATATAAATTAATTTAAAAAAAACTGTACAGAAAATATATTTTTGGCAGATATATAGGTGAGGAGTGGTTGTGTTAGGGGAGTGCATATTTATTCTGTAACACTGGGTGGGACTGGGAGTGTAAATAAACTGGGTTTATTACTTATTTATTAATTTGGGTGGTAAACAGACTGGAGATAGTTGTAAATAAATTTGGGAATTTGTTGAAATAAAATATGAGTTAAGTGAAGAAATGTAAGAAAAGGGTAGGGACACATATGTTTTACTTCTACCTGCTCCTTTTCAGACACTGTTATCTTTGTCTTGTTTGTTTTTTTCTTATGTTTTTTTTTTTTTTTTAATTATTTTTGGTTTAAAATAAAGTCATTCATTCATTCATGACAGCTAGATGTCTACAGCCCTCTCCCTCTCTAGAAATGTCATAAAACAACTCCATATCTTATCAAAGGTAGAATATGTACCCTTGATGTAAGTTTTCCTCGGGCAACAGAGTGTGACAGTCAGGTCAGCCAGGTTTGTAAACTTGGTCTCACAGAGGATTCCAGAATCTGGCTACGGTGAGTTTTGCTTGTAATAAACAGAAGAGGGTCATTTTCCTATCTGCCTTGTTTAGTTTACAATTTACTGGAAAATTTTCCAAGGATTCACAGCTCAGGGCGTACAGACAACTCAACACCTACGACATGTTAAAGGATGTCCAAAACCTCTATCCAGAATACCTGGATATTTGGGCAGTCCCACAGGTAATGAGACAGCGTGCCCTTTATGTCTTCAATTTATTTAACGTGGTTGGAGTTACATACATTGTCACTGTCCACTTATGTTGCAGTAATTTATAATGGGCGTTTATGGATTGTGTTTGAGCTTTCAAGCAGATTGACTGCCAGGCCTCCACTGAGATATGATATTTAAAGCAAGATTTATACACGTGAGGCAGACGCTACGCTGCAGCCGACACCTGTAGCCTGCGCTGCTGTTAGCATTTATACCTGTGTGGTGGTGTGTCTGTGTCACTCTGCAGTTACACCTCCAACACACTAGTTGGCAGTAGAGTTTCTGTGAAGTGCTGTAAAGTTTAGTTGATTCAAAACACACATTAAACACATTAAACACACACTAAACACATGTTAAATGCACGTTAAACACACATTAAACACACAGTAAACACACATTAAACACACACTAAACACACATTAAACACACATTAAACACACTGAACACACATTAAACACACACTAAACACACATTAAACACACACACTAAACACACATTAAACACACACTAAACACACATTAAACACACATTAAACACACTGAACACACATTAAACACACACTAAACACACATTAAACACACACACTAAACACACATTAAACACACACTAAACACACATTAAACACACATTAAACACACTGAACACACATTAAACACACACTAAACACACATTAAACACACACACTAAACACACATTAAACACACACTAAACACACATTAAACACACATTAAACACACTGAACACACATTAAACACACACTAAACACACATTAAACACACACACTAAACACACATTAAACACACACTAAACACACATTAAACACACATTAAACACACTGAACACACATTAAACACACACTAAACACACATTAAACACACAGTAAACACACATTAAACACACAGTAAACACACATTAAACACACACTAAACACACACTAAACACACA